GGGGCTGTCAACCATGGATCTGCTCTAACGCCATGCAGATTCAAGCCAGTTGCACAGAGAAGGTGGCTTTTCTTGCCTCTCCCTACCTCCAGGGGTGGAGCCTACCACTTTTGGTAGTAAAGTCTCAGTGCTAGGGGGAGGGGTTATGCCCGAGTCCGCCCAGCGTCCCAGCGCCCCAGCGCCTGTGAATCCCGCAGGTTCCAGCCTCCGTGACTGGGAAAGCACTCAAAATTTGCTCATCAACAGGGACCCAGCTAATTGACAACAGGTCGTGGAAGGGCAGAGCCTGTCGCTAGAGTCCCCGCGCTGGAGGGAGGGTGCTGCCGGAAACCGTGGCGCACCACAGCATCTGGGCTGTGGCGGCTGCCCACCCGCAGAGCGCTAGCGCTGGGGGCGACTGTTCAGGAGTTGGCAGATGTGGGATTGGGAAACTGAGGCAACAGGATGCCGTTGTCTCCTGTGTGTCGCCCTCCCGCAATCTCCCGCCCGTCCAGCAGGACGTCTTGCACTTTCTGACCCACCCTGAGCCCGCCTAATCGTCCGCAGCGGTTTCCAGGTTAGAGCCCCCTTTTCAGTGTTCACCTTCGTTGTTCTGGTCCCGCTGACGGCCGGAGGCGAGGTGCCTGTCTCCTAACTCCCTCCAACAGTAGCTCAGACCAGTCCCTCGCCTGCCCAGTGCAGTCCTAGCGCAGAGCTGCGGGGAGTTCAAGATGCTTCCTGCTATCCTTCTCTCCACAGAGCCCAACTTCTCCTGCCATGATTTTGCACCGACCTCAGGCAGGTCCCTGTCTGGGTGCGGAGGTCAGTGGGGCAGCAGGACGTTCTCCTGTGCGTCAGATCCCGCTGCACTCGCCGTCCAGGCAGGCGCAGCCGTGCCACGCTCTATTCTCTATCTCACACTCTACAGACTTCGGGATCCTACCTCCCATTCACCTTTTTTTTTCCCTATGAATGTGTCCCACTGTTTCTCTGCAGTTTCACAACGCTGTTTTTGCGGGGGAGCGATCCATTCCTGCATAGAGCTCTACACCTCTTTGGGAGCAGGGAGCCCGGAAGTCACCTTTATTCCACCATTTTTCTCCCATATACATATTTGGTTTTGGACTGTGTTTCGGCACTTTATTTTTATCCAGTCATTGTGCCGAATGCTTGTCATTGTCAAAAAGAATCCATTTTTTATCACACGTAACAGTACGGTGTAGAAATGTCTTACCTTTTTGCTGACAGCAAAGAAAGGCAATCTTCGAGGTGATTTTTCTTTTGACGTTTGTTTAATTTATGTATTAATGGTACCCATCTATCCAGCTTCTTTACCTTGCCAATTTGTTTTAAATGGTCTGATATTGTTGAACTAGTAACATCAAACCTTCTTGTTTATTTTTGCATAGGTTGAGATGAATTCACTTCCACTACAGTTTTTAGTTTATCGTTATGCACTTTGGTCTCAGGTCATTCATGTGGCTCATTTTGAAGATTAAAATTACCAGGACGGAACTTTTTAAAACCATCAACGTACTATGTGTTTGTTAGCCACATCCTTTCCAAACACTTTGTCGATATTTTGAGCTGTCTTTGTTGTATTAGTTTTATAACAGAACTCATATTTGAAAATAATATGAATTTTTCAGTTATCTATGGTTGTACAAAAATTGTTCTAAAAAATTTGAAAGATAATCACAAGTCAAAATGTGAGTTTGAAAGAATGAGGATGTACCTTTACAAGAAAAATAAAATAAGAAGTGTCAAAGTGAAATTTCACATGTATTAACTGTCAAACTTAGTACTTAAGGAAATCAGACATTTCATACTTAGTAACCTAATATCTGCTTAGAAAATCCTGCAAGGAGTCACAAGAACCTCTATACCTGGATACCTCTGGGGAGTGAGACAGGTAGTTAGGGGAACTTTTATTTTATGCTGTTTTGTATAAAGAGTTTTAAAACTATAAATAAGAAATACTTTCTACATGAAAATTGTTACATTTAAAAGACCGCTTTAAAATAACATTCTGTTGAATATGATTGCCATCGGACCGCACTGAGACCAGAGCCTAACTGGAGAAGAAACTGAGACTACTGGGGACCTGAAGCCAGTTGTGTGGATTCTGAGAGCATAAAAAGAAGGACAGGCAGCAAGAAAGCAAAGATTTGAATTTTGAGTTAAGGAAAGAAAGAGAGATTTGCCTCTGTGATCATGGACTTGTAATTTTATCCTTAAAGGCTGCCTGGGTGGAAGACTTGTGCATGTGTTTGGAGCTGGATTTTCTCCAGGGAAGATCTCAGCTGCTGTGTGCGGTGCTCCCTGCCGAGTCTTGGCTAATGCTACAGTGTCTGCCTTCAGCTGCTTGGTGCCGCCCCTGGATGGTGAGTAAAGATGCCACATATGTGTATTTTCAAGCTGTCTGGAAAATATCCAGCCATGTAATATGAAAACTAGTATTAACAATGGCTGGATACTTTCCAGACAGTCCCCCTGAATAGGAAAATAATATTCGTTGGTTAATTCTATTTTTGAAATTAATAGTGTACTGACCACTAATTTTTCTATGTGTTCCTGGGAAAATAATTTCTCTACTCCTCATCTAAAAGGGTAGTTAGAATCTGGGGCCACCTGTTATAATAGTTGATAATAACTTTTGTCATATTAATGGATCAATGTTAAATGCATATCAAAAAATTTACCACCTATTATCTTGACTGTGGTCGTATGATGATGGAGAAAATAATTCTGAGTTCTGACTATTAGTTTCAATGACAGCTGTAGGCATCATGGAGGAAACACGCTCTTGGATTTGTTCTGAGGTGAGGTTGCTGAATACTTCTGCTTATCGGAAATACCAATAAAAGCATGGAGATTACCAAGCTGGACATCTCTTGAAAATTGGCTTTGTGTGCCCAGGTCTTGAATTCTGATAGGCAAAAGAACCAATATTCACATTATCCTTTTGTTCTGTGATATCCATGTAATTACCTGATTCTTACTCAGTAAAACATGCTATCCTCATTGCTTTAAGATGCATAGCCATCATGTAAATGGTGGTGTGGGAAGCCATGGCTTTGTTGGAGGAGGGGTTAGAGAAAAATATGTATAGCTTGAGGCTTCACAACACATGGTAATAACCTATTGAGCTTCAGGAAAAAGGGCAGAAATTATCGTTATTATTACAGGACCTTATTGCATTTGAAATATTTAATAGCTCAGATTTAGCCAGGTGATTATCTTGTTTGCATATTCATAGATCCTGTACCTGTACACTTAAGAACCATTTACACACTTGTTTTCTCGGTAGTGTTTTTTTTTTTTTTTTTACTTAGCCTTACCTAAGCAAGACCTCAAAAAATTTGGTTACCAACACATAACTGTCCCTCTCCACGGAAATCTTTAGTAAAAGGTGAAAGATTTCTTCATTTTGAAGAGAAACCACAGTATTCTCTGTAGTATTTTAAGATATATTCCTAATTTATTTGTCCACAGCTTGAATGAGAGCTAAGGATTTACAAGGTAATGAAAGCATCACTTCATTTGAGCTTGGGCAATAATTCTATGATGAGTCATGCTATGTGATGGCAGTTTACACGGATTTGTCTTAGGAAGGAAGAGGAGAAGGAAAAGGAGGAGAAAGGAGAGGAAGAGGAGGAGGAAGAGGAGGAGGAGAAACAGTCCTTGTTTAAAATACCAGAAATTGAGTTTCCTATTATCTTCATGTATGTTAACACAGTATTATAGAAGAAAATTGATTCCACAATAGGAAATTTAAGATATAATAGAAGACTTAAGTTTAAGACATTGTCTGTTTCATTCACTGCTCTACCTACTGTGCATAGAACAGTATTGGCACAGGGTATGTGCAAAATTAATGCTTGATGAATGAATAGATGGAAGAATTGGGAAATGGAAACAGAAAACTAAGACTTCACATTTCTAGGTTCTAATTTTTAACTAATACTGCTACAGTTTAAAAAAAATCTTTCACATATACACTGCTTAAATTAATAAGCTTTTTATACCACACTTTGGGCGGGAGCAGAGGGAATGGGTGAACAATTTGAATGTTAGTTGCAGGAATCAGGACTTTTTTTTCTCTTAAAAAATTAATATACTTTTTAAAACCCCTTGATATTTGAAAAAAATTTCAACCGGAGGTACAAAATAAAAACCAATGAAGATTCAAGGTAAGGTAAATTGTGGTATTTGAAGTTTGATAACTCTTAGGGGGAGAATAATAGAAATTATTATATTTAGAAAGATTTGATTAAGTTTTAGAAAAGAACTCAAAATTCCTTGATTTTTAGAAGAGGAAAATGAGTTGGAGGCTGTAACTCTTTATATTGCCACTAGGTGTCACCAAACACTCATCGATTGTGCAAGGAACACATTTCTGCTAGAGAAATGCATAATTTGCCTTATTTTTCGTTTACATTTAAAAAGCCTTTAAAAAGACTTTTCATCACAATGTCTAAAGATGGAAAGGAACTTAGCACAAAATCCAGAGATTTCTTACTTAAGATTCAGGATTGGATTTGGCAATTCCGTTAACCCCGTGAAACTGGACAAAACATTTTGAGTGTATGATTGTGTGTGTGTGTGTGTGTGTGTGTGTGTGTGTATTTTTCCCTAGCAAGTAGGTTTATAATGGTCATCCAATGATCAAAGAAGATGTGTCCCAGAAATTATTAGAAACTACTAATAATCTCCCTACTGTTCACTTTAATTAAGAATCTGTGACATTTTAAAAGATTTTTTACTGGAGGACTGACTTCTCAGCAGCAGCCCTTACAAGTGTTCCACTGTTACTATTCTCAGAGACGACCATCCTTCTACTGGACTGATGCTCCCCCACTCTACTTTTTTAACCTGAATCAGGCAGTGGCCTTTTGGAAAGCTGAATAATCTCAGTCCCTCTAAGGCAGAGTTTCTCAAAGTGTGTTCGCTGGAGCCCCAGCAGCAGCAGCAGCACCTGGGAGCTTGTTAGAAATATGCAGTCTTGGGACCCAGCAAATTGGGAAACTCCCCAAATAAACATTTTGGTATCTCTCTTCTGAGCCCTTTCTGAATTCTACATTCTTTCCTAATTTGAAGCCCCAAGCTAGGTAGCTTCTCTGGGTAAGCAAGTTCTAGACATATTGAATAGCATCATAAGATGCTTGCATTTAATGTGGCCCATACTTGTTTTTAAAATTACACTGATTACACTGCTGGCGGGGTGCAGTGCCTCATGCTTGTAATCCTAGCACTTCGGAAGGCTGAGGTGGGAGGATCACTTGAGGGCAGGAGTTTGAGACCAGCCTGGGCAACATAGTGAGACCCCTCCGTCTCTAAAAAATAAAAGTAATTATAAAAAAGAAATTAATACCTGGTGCCAGCTACTCAGGAGGCTGAAGCAGGAGGATCATTTGAACTCAGGAGTTGAAGGTTGCCGTGAGCTATGATGACATCACTGCATGCTAGCCAGGGCAAAGAAGTGAGACTCTGTCTCAAAAAAAAAAAAAAAAAAATTACACTGCTGTCTTTCTGGTTTATGATCTTTCTGTTACCTACTATTATTCCATGGTGTGTGTGTGCATGAGTGTGTGTGTGTGTATGTGTGTGTGTGTGTTTCTTTCTATCATGGCTGTGCATAGCTGACTGTCCTTATATTTATATAACTTCTTTTTTTCTTTTGCAGTTTACTACTTTACTCTTTTCATTTTTTCTTTTGTTTGTTTCTCTTAACTTCTTTAATTTACCAAGGACGTTTGAATGCTAATCCTTGCTTTGAGTTTTAGTCTTCAGTTTGACTTTACACAATAGAGTGATGTTTCCCATTCCAGGTTGTAGATGTTGTCCCAGAACTCAAACTTCCCTAATTATTATTTTGCTTGTGTCCGTGCCCTGCTGCAGTGCTAATGTGTTTTCTATTCATGAGTTGGGCAGGGGAGTTGGAGCTCTAAGAAAGTTCCTCTGCCACTTTTTGGGTCACTTATCTTTACCTTCCTCACAGACTGTACTTCTAACAGAAGAATTTTACTTTTTCATACGATAGTTGCTCAAACATCCTGTTTTTAAGTGAAACTAATACTTTGTATTTGTTTAAAATGAGCCAGACCTTTGATCTTTGGGTTTTCTTGCATTTATACCTTGAATTATACCACATGACTTTTTCATGGAAACTTTAACTTTTCCATGAGGCATGAAAAGCTAAAGTGATTAAGGTCACACAGCTATTTAGTGGCAGAACTTTGAGTAAAACCCATGAATTTCGATCCTCAGCCCTGGGTGATTTTCATAATCCACCTTGTCAATTTGCATTCACTTAATCGCCTGTAATGAATTCATTATTTTATAGGTGTTGAGCTTGTTTTTATTTGCCTTAGGGCTTACTAACTGGAAAGTTCTTATGTTTTGTCTGTCCATACAAGAGTCCTACTGTCAGTCATTTTTATTGCTATAATTCGTTTGAAACACATTCACAGAGAACCTTCTAGGTGCCAGGTGTGTTAGAACGTAACAGCAATAATAGTACTATTGGGGTGTGATTGCATAACTGCAAACCCTCTCACAGTCTTTATCTTGGTTGGACCTTGCAGCAGCGCTGTGATGAAGCAGGGAGGTATAGGTTGAAGCCCACAGCCCTTGATGACATTTGGTGCATACCTGCATGGACAGGCTAGCTGCAGAGCAAGCAGGCTAGAGAGATTTTTCTTTTCTCTTCTTTTCTTTATTAAGGTTTCCAGACAGAGCTGCTCCTAAACTCTCTCGTGTAGAGATTTGTTCATCTTCTAAAGATTATTGCCAGTTTGCCTTATTGATGGTTTTCACATGTGTCTCCTGACGCAGAAAGAAATGGCCTAAGAGTCAAAGGGCTTCAGATACTTTTTTTCTTTATAACATGTTAATGGTCATAATTATATGCAAATGAACCATCAAGAGAGTGAAAAGTCTAGCCACAACCTTGGAAAACGTATTAGTAATCATATAATCTCTGGAAGACTAGTACCAAGAATAAATAAAGAATACAAATCAATAAGAAAAAGACAAAAAGCCTGAGGAAAAATGGGCAAATGACAGGAAAAGGAATTTCGTAGAAGAGAAAACATGAGCTATTATTAACCATAGAAAATTGTTCAACCTAAAAGTATTGTGCAAATTATGAGATACCATTTTATACACATTAGATTGACAAAAATTAAGAGTCTGATAATTTCAAGTGCTGACAATTATGTTAAGTAATAGAAACTCATAAATATAGCAGGGATGTAAAACGGCACAACCACTGTGGAAAACAATACGGCAATATGTTGTGAAGTTGCACTTTACCCTTTGAACAAGCAATTTTCTTTCTAGGCATCCACCCTAGAAAAAATTTTGTACATGTTTGTAGCAGAAAAAACTGGGAAATACCCAAAAGTCCATTGGTAAGAGAATAGATAAATATACCGTAGTACTGTCATGCTATACAATACTGAGCAGCAGTGAAAATGTACCAACACTAGTTATATGCAATAATTTGGATAAATCTTAGAAATATAATATTGAATGAAAAAAGTAGGTCAAAGAATATTTTGTCATGTAGTATAACGTTCAAAAACAAGTAAAACTCAATAATCTCTTGTTTAGGAATACAAACCCTTGTGATAAACCTATTTAAAAAGTGCCAGGTGGTTATTTCTGAGCATGCAGAGGAAGGGAATGGACTAGAGGGGGCGCGAACAGAGTACTACACCTGTTTTTGATCTTACGCTGGCTGGTGGGTTCACATGAGTTTTTAATGATGATGATTTATATTTCATAAAAATGTTACTTATATTCTTCTGTGTATAGTAGACATACATAATACATTAAAAAAGCAAACTGATAACTTCACTTTCCTGTGGGTCGAGGGAGGACACATGAACTTCATTTATGACATGACGTGAGGCCTTCGGTTCTTTCTGTGGTTCTTTCCTAATGGTGACTGTTTCCTACAGTGTCGGTGGCTTTCCTGTGTGCCCTGAAGCATGAGGAGGACAGCTGTGAGGCCACCAGCCACACCTATGTGCAGTGTGATTTGACTGTTGCCGTGGGGACGGAGAGACTGCCTGAATCATGGCCTTACCTCTATGTTTGTGAAGAAAGTTCTCAAGGCCTCTTTGTGCCTGATCATTGGACAGAGTCAGCGTTTCCATCATCGTTCTCAGGCCTCTTCATCAGGTAATCCTGTCTCGCCAACCCCCCTAACCTTCCCCATAAGTGCATGGCCAGCGGCCGGTGGAGCCACGAGAAAGCTGGGTGGACGTGGCCCGTGGGGCTCAGCTCTCTCGGAGGGGGTCAGGCCATTGTGGATCCCGGCCAGCCTGCATTTCAAAGCATCTCCTGTCTTTTTCAAATGTTCAAGAGAACATCTGAAAAATCTGCCCAGTAAACAGCTCGCTTTGTTCTTGCTTAGATTTTAATATTTATCTTCCGATCCACAGCAACATCTGGTGAATGCCAATGGGGAAAAAGATTAGACGTTATGAAAAACAGAAGGCTTTTTTTTTTTTTTCCTTCCCATTTCCTTTTTCTTTTCTTTCCAAACAGATTCACAAGTATGAAAAAAAGTCATGGAGAAATCCAGCAGATTGTACAATGTTTATTCGAAAGGAGGGAGGTTGCGTGGGTGGAATTACTGTAGATCTAGGATTTAGAAGCCATAAGCTTATAAGGATTTTTTTGAACTTAAAAAAAAAAAACCCTAACAAATAAATACCGTAAATTTCCAGGTTAACGCTGCTTTTCTAAACGAATTTAAAAAAAAAGTGTGACCATGTTGGTAACTGTGGATGGTCTTAATTTCAGCAAGCAGTTCTTTTCCTATGCAGGGTGATATCTCAGGGCCGAACACTGCCTTGCATCCTTTTTCTTATCTAGATAGAGTGGTTACCTCTGGTTATTTAATGAAGGCCTATTTTCCCATTAAACTATAAAACTAAAGAAGCCCAATTACCCATAGTGAAAGATATAACCAGCTCTTTCCATGGCAGTTTGACTTTTGGGTGTCCTGAGACAGTCTGTGTTTTGGTATGAATTTGCCATCAGAGGTTTGGGTTTCGGGAGAGGAAAAGAGAACCCTCCATGGCTGGTTGCTTCCTAACGGGGCACGGAGAACCCTGTTCATGTCACGTAGGAAACGGGCTGAGATCGGATTTCAGAACTTACTAATACAGAACACCAACAAGTATATGTGAGCAGTTTCTGGCTTCACTGAATTTAGGACTTTATCTGGATCCCAAATGATTCTTTGGAGTCTCTGCTGTCCTTCCTCTTCGTTCCAGGAGGGACTGGGGTGATGGAGCCTCAGACTTCATTAAAGGTTACACCCTTCTCTATGCATATCATTTCAAATCATTTCAGAAGTGCTGCTCAGGGTTCTGGCTATTGCAGCAGGCAAAAGTCAGTGTATTTTCTTAAGCATTAAAATAAATGCCCTATGACTTAAACAAGTAAAGTTTAGTGTTGATGAGGGTGGGGGCAAAACTCTCGCTGCTCTTTGTTGCCAGTGGGAAGGGAAGTTAATACAATCTTTAGAGGACAATTCGACAGTGTACTAATAACCTTATAATTCTTTATACTCTGGGACCTAGCAGTTCAACTTCTTGGATTTTATTTTAAGAAAGCAGATAGAAATGTGTAATATGTACAAGCAACCATGTTCCTGGAGATTTCAGGTACAATGAAATATTTGAAATGAAATAAGTTTTAGTAATAAGGAATGCATCCAAATGGTATGATACTAAGAAACCTTTAAAAGTCATGATGCAAGATATTTAACCAAACAGGAACATGCTTGTGATATATTGAGAAGTAAAAATCACAGGTCACAAAATAGTGTATCAACTTGATCCTCCTGTTGTCAATAGCACGTATGTTTGCACACATATTGGTGATTAGAATAGAGATCAGAAGGATATGTTCTAAAATGTTGATAGTGCCTATGTCTACGTGGCTGGAGTACTGATCGTATTTATTTTTTTCATTAAGTTTTTGTGTATTTTTTCAGTGAATATGTGCCAATTTATTAACCAGAAAGCACATTATAAATTATACAAGGGGCATAAAAGATCATGCTCAAATAACTTACTTAGTTCTTCTTAACATTATGCTTGTGAACCCAGAAGATCAATTTCCAAAATCTTTCAGGGAACCCACTTCCTTTAAATGCTTCTCTCTCAGTCAGTTACTACCACTATGGATTTGACGTCATGTGGCAGAGGCAGACATGTATCTGTGGCAAAAATATACCCTGTCCATCCATCTATCCATCCATCCATCCATTCATCCAGTATTTATCAAGTGACTACTATGTTCTAGGTGTTGTGCCCGGTGCTGGTGACTCGATGGTGAATAAGTCATGAAAGTCTCTGTCCTTAAGGGTAGAGGAGGAAGTCAGGTAATAAACAGAGTGATTGCATGTTGTGATAAGTGCTATAGAATGACAGAAAAATAATAGGGAGCTACTTTAGCTATTGTGCTCAGAGGACGCGTCTCTGAAGAATTATCTTTTACGCTGAGGTAAGAAGAGAAGAGTCAGGTAGCGGAGGCAGCAAGTGCAAAGGAACCATCAAGCTTTAGGAGCCGTTCAGAGGCCAGTAGGTGGGAGTAGAGTGAGAAGGAAGGAAAGAGGCCCTAGATGAGCTCAGGGGGGTATGTAAAGCATAGAAGGCCCAAGTAAGGAGTTTGGATTCTATTCTAAGTGAAGATTAAGTAACTTTCTAAAGTCACACAGTCAAGCCATGGCAGTGTTGGGGACTGGAAATCAAGGCTTCTGACTCATGGCATACTTAGCGCAATGCCTTGCTGTGGGCGTCAGTGCTGAGAGCATTGGCCGAGCTGTGGGCTTCAGTGAGATTTCAGAGCCATAGGAAGCAGTTTCAGGTTCAGTGAGGGAGATAGAATGCCTGCAAGTGTTTTTGCTACCTATCCTAAAGAATGCATACAATACTACCTGCTTACTCAGGATCTGATCAGACTAATGGAGAGAACGATAGATCGAGAGTCAGGAATCTTAGGTTCTAGTACTATCTTTGTCACCATTTGGACCAAAAATTTTTACCATATCCCCCCAAAATAAATATTTATGTGTGTGCATGTGTGTATACATGGGCATCTATATCTATACATATATTGGTATCTTTATATACACATACATATATTTATATTTATATTTAAATCTGGCTAACTGCACTTCTTAATTCATAAGATTATTGTGGAAGATAATGTAGAATAGTAGCTGGCTATTTAGAGACTTCGACATTTTGTAAATGTTAGTCTATTTTTGATATCCTGATGTCTCAGCTAATTTTGGTGATAGCTCTTTAATGAAAAAGCATTTCTAGCAAGATAATCAGGAACAAATACAAAAAGAAGTATGAGCTAAATCTTGAAAGAAGTCTAAGCTAACAGAAAGGGATCTGACTCTATTCAGAGGAAGAACACCTCAGGGAAGACAGTGTATTGCTAACAGACAGAGAGGGCAGAGTGACTCAGCTCATTTTACCCATACCTCTGCCAGCAAAGAGTCTAGAAAGGGCATAAGAAGACTTGTTACAAGGGTGGAAGCCCAAGGCCAAGAAAGGTTGTAAAGGAAGTCAGATACTACTCTCCTTGAGTTCAAGTCCCAGATCCTTCATATACTGGGTCTGAAACATTTGCTCATTCGATTGAGGACCCACTCCTGGCAATGAAACACGAGAAGGGCCCGCATAACGGAGAGAGGTGATAGGCAAAACAAATATTCTACCAATTACCTAAAAAAAGAAAAAGGAGGAATTCTGGAAATGTGGACAACAACTTTGACATTTTACCTGACAAAATTCTGGAGCGAATTATTAATCAGACAGTTTGTGAGCTTTCAGAAATGAAAGTAGTTATCTGGAAACTGATTCACAAAGAATGTGATGGTGTGGTAAACCAATTTCCTTCCCTTTCCGATAGGTTTATAAGTGATTTATGACATAAATATCGAAGGAGACCTTCATAAACTATTTTAACAACCTTTCCACCCCCAGTAGCAAAAAAATATTCTAGGTGCAAAGCCCAAAGTGTCCTAACAAAGCCTAAAATTGCTCTGAAGACAGGTGTTTTAAAAGACCATGTGAATTTTGCATTCTCTTCCACCATATTTCCATTTTCTCTAAATATTGCATTACATTTTAATTTAAAAGTTAAATTACTTTGCTTTTCCTTTCTGAATCTTGGTGTATGACTGACACCCCAGGAGCAAATGCCATATTTATTCTGTGGTTTTGTCTATCCCATGGGTGATGGTTTAGTGAGGCGGATTTATAGCTAAATTACAGGCTACAGATTCAAAATGTTTTGAGCAATGGGTCTAAATCAGGGAAATAGGATGCAGCAACAATGAATGTAAATTCCCACATTTACGTGTCAACAACAGCACTACCAACACCATTGCCACGAAAACCTTTAACAAGAACTGCCTTTATAGGATTCTCACTTTATACCAGGTTCCATGTCAATCATTTTAGGTGCTTCATTTCAGTCAATTTCCTCAACACCTCCACAAAATAGGTACTCGATTGTTAGTAACTCCCTTTTATAAATGTAGAAACCAAAGCTTAGTGAAAAATGTCTTCAATGTCATGTAGGTGGTAAATATTTGTGCTGGGATTCAAATCTAGATGGTCTACTTTCAAGCCTAATGCTTCTCAGAAAATGAGTTGAACAAACACAGCGTGGGGAAGTCCTCAGCCAATAGCAGTGCTGAGCCTTTGAGTTGACCACCATCTTTTTTTTTTTTTTGAGACAGAGTCTCACTGTGTTGCCCGGGCTAGAGTGCCGTGGCGTCATCCTAGCTCACAGCAACCTCAGACTCCTGGGCTCAAGCCATCCTCCTGCCTCAGCCTCCTGAGTAGCTGGGACTACAGGCATGCGCCACCATGCCTGGCTAATTTTTTCTGTATATATTTTTAGTTGTCCAATTAACTTCTTTCTAATTTTAGTAGAGACGGGGTCTCACTCTTGCTCAGGCTGGTTTCGAACTCCTGAGCTCAAAAAATCCGTCCGCCTCGGCCTCCCAGAGAGCTAGGATTACAGGCGTGAGCCACCGCACCCGGCCTAGACCACCATCTTAACATACTCACAGGGGCTACCAAATGAACATGGTGGTAGGTGCTGTGGGAGGGAACATTCAGATAAAGGCGGACCAGCGCCGCAGTGGTCAGCCCAAGCTCTCTGCCTTCAGTTCTGGGTGGCACCATGTTAAATTATTGACAATCTATGGTAGGTCTAGAGGACAGTGGGCTTAGATGTCACGTCTTAGGTGAACATGGAGTGGACAATGTTTTATAATACCATGAAGAAGAGAAGATTAAGTGGTAAGATGTGATATTTATCCTGCTCATTATTTCTAGCAACTTGTGGGAGAAACTATCTTGACATTGGTTTGAAAAAAGATGCTATGGTTTGACATGATTTATAGTTTCTCAAGCAGTGACCTTTTGCCCTTTCCCCTGCCCTTCCTGGTCTTCCCATGGGATCTGCCATCGTTCTGGCCGATGTTCGATCAGCTTCTCAAAACTTGAGAGTGCTGTGCTAGGAAAAAGGATGCCTGGGTTCTGATCTCAGAGCTGCCACAGTTTTGTGTTTGAATTTCTGCAAATCTCCTGATCTCCTTGGGTTACATTTTTTATATCTCTACCTAATTTACAGGCTGAAATGAGATCATACATATGAAATTGTTGAAAAGTATAAAACATCATGCATTATTATCACTAATAATCTTTGAGTTAGTTAGTTGCAACAATGCCTACAGCCAGGATTATTCTTGAATAAATATCACACCTGATGGGGACAATAGCCTTCAATGTCCATGTTCTCACCTCCTCTAGACAGCATATTTTTAGACTTTGTGTAATGCTACACTGCTGTTTTTCATTTTAAATCCAGTCTGGCTTTCTCTCCTTAAAGCAAGAGGACTTTTTAAAGTGAGTGGCTGCTAGTATAACTGGCACATATATCGAATCTCCTTAGTCTGGGCTGTTAAGTAAGTTTAATTAATTTACTAAGTTAATGTTCCACTGCTAGCAACAGAGCCTCATTGCCATCAGCTGGGGAGAGGGAATTGAAAGCCTAAATGAGCTCATTTTTTCACAGTTGGAATTAGGGACCAGTTAGCCAGTTGTGTGGGTTTTCCAATTTCTCCATCTGCCCTGGGGGGATTCAGGCAATTCACTCCCCCAACACTAAGTGTGAGTAAGAGCAGAAAGAGGGAAGGGGAAAAGAAGAAGAAGAAGAAAAACCCACCAAAAACTCTCCCAAGCATTTGCTTCCATTTTTGGAACTGGAAGCATTGCCTGCATATTGCTTGTTAAGTTGGGCTTGGGGAAGCTTTTGCCAATGTTCCTGGTAGATTTGGAAAAGAGAAAGGCCTCGGTGAAAGATATTTACCACGTGCATTTTCATTGCAGGGTGTGCAGATAACGGGAAAACAAATAAACAACAAAAGAATGGAAACAAAATTACAGAAATTTGCAAAATTTGACAAATGGTGGCCTGTAGTTGCCACAAGCTAATGGCTTGCAATGATTAATAAGAGTAAAAATAATTGCATTTCATTAAGATTGATGACACCCCATTTAACCTCCCCTCTCGTTTCAGCCCTAAAGTGGAAAGAGATGAAGTTCTCATCTATAATAGCTCCTGTAACATTACCATGGAAACTGAGGCAGAGATGGAGTGTGAGACGCCTAATCAGCCAATTACCGCCAAGATTACTGAGATATGGAAAAGCTGGGGCCAGAACACTCAGGTATAATCAAATCTTTTTTACAGACTGATTCAAACAGCTCAAATTAAATTTGTAATATTGTGTACATTAAAAAAACAATTTAGTCCAAATGGCAGCGATATATAATATTAAATGCTCTCAAACTTTGAGGAGCTGGTCTAATGCACAATATCTGAATTCATAGTTAATTCTGGTTAATCATATATTTTCTCAAAAATAAATGAGTGCTGCCTGGGCTCTTTTAAAGCAAATTCTGAGCAGATAATCTCCTCAGCATTTTGTCCTGATTTCTGCATGCATGTTTGGAAGGGGCTCTCTGTGGTTTATTTCTTCATGAAATAAATGGCCTGCAATTTAACCAGATCCTACTGGAAGGCTTCCAGGTCACTCAGCCACCCTCCGCTTGGTGGGACAGCAATGTCTGCAGGTCCATCCGGTTCATCTCTGTTCCACAGGGAGCAGAGTGGAAACTTCAGTTTCTGAGGGGATTACATGGACATTAGAACTGAAAAGGACCGCAGGGCCATTTGGTCTAACCTCTCTACCTCAATTCATCGCTTCAAAATGGTCTAAACCACTTCCTCCAAGTGGCTCTTTAGGAAACGTGTTCTGAAGTCCCCAGTGAGGAATTCCACAGTCTCCCCAGGGAATTTGCGAGAATTGGAATCAGAGGCTCAGGGCTCTTTGGAAATGGATCAGATAATCTTTTACAGCTCCCCAGGCTTCTCACTGTACACAGATAAAAAATAATATTTATTGAGCACCTACTCCCTTAGGTGCCTTTCTCTTTATGAAAGCAATTCTCAGATTTTCCTCCTTTTGTCTCTTTTATTTGGAACAAACATTTATTGAGTGCCTATTATGTGCCCCTCATGGTACCTCTCGTGAGTGCTGCTCCAGTTAAACCGGCCCGATCCCAGACTGTGCTTCCTGGATTCGAAGTGTATGTTTTTCTATCACTTTTGTACTGGCGCTGAAAATGTGTGCCATTACAAATAACCTTTTTTTCTTGTCCTTCCTAAAGTGCTCCCTGTCTACCTTCCCACCCCTCTGAGTCCCCGCTGTTCATTCTGTCACCTTGCCAACCTTCTCACTCCCCTTTACCTTCCCTTCAGGTGACTGCCCGGGGCTGTGGCTTCTTGCTTCATTGCGTCTCCCACAACTGCCTCTTCTTTCAATTTACTGCCGATTTTAATCCTGCATCTCCAGGATCACTGTCACCTAATCACGATCTCCACTTTGTGCCTCTTTCTCAGCTGTCCGTGACATTTCAAAAGTTTATTGTGGTGAGGGGGACAGCTAGGGACACTGAGCAATCTGTAAGCCTCTCTGGGCCTCAGTTTCTGCCAGGTGGGTAATGATCTGGTGGTGTTGGGATGGTCATGTGAGCGCTTGCTGGTGAGAGTGGGGGAGAGGCAGGCTGGCGCCGGGGTTGAGTGTGTGGACTTACAGTAGACTGCCCGGGTTCGAATAAGTACGTCTCTTGCTGCCTGGGGCACTTCAGGCAAGTTACTTCACCCCTCTGCACTTCAGTTTTTTCATCTCTAAAGTGGGGACAATAATAGAACCCACCTAATAGGGTTGTAGGGAGGCTTACAGCGTGGGAACCACCGAGAGTGCGGCATCTCACTCCTAGTAAGTGTCCAGGGTCAGCCATCGTTGGCATTGCGAGTTCACTAGCAGCCGTGCTAGAGAACGACATGGAATTATTTCTCTGTAGTGCTTGCTGCTTTGATTAGATCATTTCATTTCTTAGATTCCATTTAATTTTTCATCATCTCAAAGTCTAATTTTGAATTTTTTTGGAGCCTTAAATGCCTCACACATTTAAAGATATTCACACAACATATATTTATTGAGTTCCAACCATGTTCAAGGTCCTCTGCCATGCCCTGAAGGAGATAAAAAAAATAGTATGGAAAGAGACCTCGCCTTTAAGGGATAGTTGGGAAGTGAGGCCGTGTGTGGAAGTGGGTAAGGTCCAAAGGAGGGAATTCATCACAGTTGGATGGAACGTTGGACACCATCCAGACCAGCCATCTCATTTCAGAGATGACTTAACTGAGATTCAGGAAGAGACAGGACTTGATAAAGGCCACACAGCTAGTTATCTGGCATCATAACCCCTGTGGCCGTAAGTCATTGTGGGGGCAGTAAGCCATCTAATCTTCAGGAACTTGGGGGTGGGGGGCTGTTTTTCAAAACCTGCCAGGCTGGTGCCAGTGTGAAGGAAGCTTTAGTTCTGAGGGGGTGACGGGGACATAGCACCATAGGTGCTTGTTCCGGGCGTGATAAGCATTGCATTCAGGTGTTGGTGATATTGTCATGGTTTAAATAGTCTGTTGGGAGCAGGGCCCTATCAGGTAGCCAGGAATGCATGGGGAGCAGGGATTTATAGCACAATTATCTGGGTTTATCACTAGGTTTAGTTCCAGTGGGGTCCTAACAAATGAAACAAGAGTCTCGGGCACAAGTCCTATCACATCGACTAGATCAATATGATAGGAGTTAGGGAACAACCATGGCTGGCATACATTGCCCAGAGCCCAGGGAAACAAAATTCTAGGTAATAGGAAATTTGTTAATTCTAGATTCCACTCTCTGGTAGGGTGGTTTGGTTTGATTTAGGAACTGGAAATAATGAAGTCTATAGACTTATAACTAACTGACTATATAATTTATCACCCAAACCAGGATGCTTTCAAGAGTGCAAGGTCCACAATTAATAATTATGTGAAGATAATATGTCACCCTTGTTGGGGTGTGTGGTTATCCTGCCTGGGCTTGGGAATGGAACAACTTGTCACCCAGATGTGATGTATGGTCCCTTTCCCTTGTTGGGGTATACGATTTCCCTACTTTGACCTGGGAACAACATGCCACTCATGTTAAGACGCATGGTGACTTTATCTGGGTCTGGTCCTCAGAAGAGCCAGCACTGACAGGTGCTTAATCAGGTCTGGAATCCACATTCCCCCTTCCAAGTTCAGAAATTCCCCATGTGAGAATCTTGGAACACTAGTTTCGTAGAATAGGTATTTAGGGATGAAAGGGTTTCAAGGTCCAACACATTTGTGAAAGCTGGGTTAAGAACAGTTACATATGTTTTCCTCCTATAGGACTTTTGAAAGCATTCAGTAGTTGACTACATAATGTGAATTTCTGAGGAGGGTAGTGCAGTGGAGTATTATGCAAATTTATTTGCCTATAGAAGCCTTTATTTCCAGAATTTCTCTTGGCGCCGGTATCTGACCTGCTGCTCTCACTTTGGTAAGTATTGCCCATGCCATACTGTGTCCCCTGTCATATAGTGGGGGCTCTGAGGTGGGGGAGGTCACCTTATGATGGGGCAGTTGACTGAGCTCCACTGAAGTAGGTGGCATTTGTATCATGCTATGAAGAGCAGGGTTTAGGTATTCAGGGATGCAGAGGGCAGGCATTGCTGGGGGAACCAGCATGCACAAGGCACCGAGGCAAGAATGCACAGGAGTAGTACAAGGAACATGATGTGCGTCAAGGGGTCTGGTGAGTTGTAAATTAGGAAAGGTGTGGTGGGATTAGATTATGAACTAGGGGTAAGTGTTTGGTCCTTTAATTCAGCAGGTGACGAGTAATCCTTGAGGAGTTACTGCTTGCTTTAGGCCTTAGGCACATTAACCTGGTAGTGGAGGACAGGTTGGCTTGATTGGTAAACTCATGGTAAGCAGAAGCATCTCTACCAGGTGAGAGATAACCGAATTAGGGAAATGGCAGAGGGAATGGAGAGGATGGGACACACTCAACAGTCAACACTTGATAACTTGTGTTAGACAAAGTGTTCAAAGTTATGGGACATTAAACAAAGTAGGTAAGAAAAATTGTGTGCTGGCTTTTCAAAGTGATCTTTTCAAAATTTTGAATACCATATATCTATGCTCATGACTCCCAGATTGGAATCTCTGGCCCAGAACTCTCTCTGGAACTTTAGATTCCTGTACCTCACTACCTACTGATATCTTCCCTTGAATATCAAAATGGCATCTTAGATTTAGCAGATTCTAAATTGAACTCCTGATCTCAACTGCTCCCTCCCTCATAGCCCTAAACTGAGCTGGTGGCAGCTCTATCTTTGTGGTTGCTCAGGCCATGGAGGCATCCTTGACCTTCCAAATCCCTCATCAGATCCATTAGGAAATTCTGTTCGCTCTACCTTTCATCTGACTACTTTGTACAAAACACAAAGTACATCATCTCTTACTATTTATTACAGGGGCTCCCTGCCCTCCTCCCTGCTTCTACTGCTACCTCCCTTTGGTCTGTTCTAATAGAGCCACAGCGATCCTTTCAAAATATACGAGATAATTCCCCTTTTCTCCTCAAAAACCTCCCAATGGCTCCCAAATTCTCTTCCAATCAAATCCAGTCCTTATACCGACATAGAGGGCCATTGTCTGCACTCCTCACCCTCCACCCCAAGGTTCTCCAGCTTTCTCTCTTACTTCTCTTGCATTTACCTTCTCTGTTCCTGACACACTGGCTCCCTGCTGTCCCTGGAATGTGCCAGGCATGCTTCCACATGGAGGCCTTTGCATTTGCTGTTCCCTCTGCTTAGAATACTTTCCCCCTTCCTTTTTCAACTACAATCCCCCACTTCAACTTTTTGCTGAAATGTTACTTCTCCTATGAAGTCTACCCTTATCATTTAAAATTGCAACCCATTACCGATGATCCCATATATCATACTTCCAATTTCCATTGTCCTGTTCTATTTTTCCGTAGTTCTTGTCACCTGCTCACATACTACTTAAGGTACTAATTTATTATGTTTATTGTTTAGTATCCGAGTGTTCCTTCCAGAATATGGTCTTCAAGAAAGCAGAAAGTTTTGCCTGCTTTTTGTTCACTGGTGTGTTCCAAGCACCTAAAACAGAGCCTGAATCAATTGTATTAACAAACAATACATACATACAAATAAAGGAAGTTAAAAAAATCTTCTCATTTGCCGCTTCTCCAATTCTACCCCCTGTTGGTTATATCTGAAA